AATTTCTTTCAGTTCGACCAAGATTTGTTCAGAGGCCTGAGATATACCACCCGGGCTACGAAACTTGGGAGACGACTCTGTCATGTAACATCTTTGGTTCTCCTCCGCCAAGGATACAATGGACTCGCTCATTTCGGCCTTTACCTGTCGAGCGTCACGTGGTGAATGGAAAAGATTTGGTGATCAAAGACACTCGGCAGGAAGACAGAGGACCCTACATGTGTCGCGGAGAAAATCACCTGGGTCACGTGTATGCACTTATTGTGCTCGTTGTGAAACCTGTCAGTAAGTGGATAAAGTGCTGATGTATTCGCATGCTAAAAATTTGTAAATATGCATTTTGAGTGACTAATAAGATTTAAGATAACAGATACTGTTGAACAGTTACAGCAATCAAAGGCTCCTTAGAACTACCTCGAAGTTTTTCTCAATAAATATCATTCGGATGAGTGGTGACAACTTTAACCCTTTTCCATCTCCTTCCACTATCGCGTTTATATCGGGTATCATCACAAGCTTCTTCATGACCTCTGAATTATCCTATCACTCCTTGGCGCACGAGTCTGTAACCGTTTAAGGTCAAACCTTGGTTATGAGGGAGGCTGATATAAAAAACTGGGTAGCGATCTGGCAAAGCTGACCGAGCAAATTACGTAGAAAATTACGTAGAAACATAATCGCGCTTTAATTCTATCGACAAAGAGATAGCGTTTTGTAGCTTTTGAGTCATCTCAGCCCCGTGTATATTTGATCATCATAAAGATATATAATTGTTGGCGATAGTTCAGCAGTGTTATATCTATGATATGATATGATGATAATCGATGATAATTGATGCAGTTCAACTGACCGTTCGGATCAGTTGATTTTTGCATTCGTTCAGGAACAGTTCGTGCTCTTCTCTCGGACTTTTGATGCCGCGCGCTTTGTAGCTACAAGGTTGAGTTTATCAAATAAAGCCCTGGAAGGTAATGCCTATTACAAGCTCTTTTTAACAAGCATCTTAAAGTAACGTTGTCTTTGGCATAAGATAAACCAACGGTTTTGTTCCTCTCCTTTTTTTTACTCTCAAAGCTCCCCCGGTGATCACTACTGCACCATCTTCCATTCTTAAGGTAAGAAACATCTTTGAGAAAGTAACTCTACAATGTGCTGCCCGTGGTTCTCCTGTGCCCAGTCTAGAGTGGAGCAAGGATGGAGTGGTTATTTCAAACAATAGAACTTCAAAGACTGACAGAGAAGTTAAAGGAGAACTTGTCATTCGTCGCTTTAGTCCTTCTGACCAAGGAGTGTACAAGTGTTTCCTGAAAAACTACGACAATGGAACTGCAGAAACTACAACGACACTGGGTAATACATAACGGGTTAAATCGGATTTAGTTTCAGGGTAAATGTAGTTTCAAATCAATCTTTTTGAGGAAATGTTTACTTGAAGTACACAAAAAAAAGGGAAAGACGTCGTTAGAGCAACGAGGACATATATCGCTTATCATTACGATGCACACATTTATAGCAGCGCGCCGTGTTGTGGTAAATTCCTCCTGAAGGGGTACAAAAGGATTTCGCTATACAAGCATGTAGCCTTCAGAACAGGCGTAATTGTTTTGCGCTTTTCAGGTGCCCGGAGGCGAACGCGAGGAGGGCACAAAGTGCGAGTAACGCAATTTGCACTTCAAACTTCACACTTCACACTTCGCGATCGCCTTGTGCTTGCCTCCGTTCGACTGAAATAAGCAAGACTTTTAAATCTGTTCTGCAGGTGACAATTTTTCTGCAGCTTCTTGTCAAAGTCGGGCATCCCTATCAATTCACCTAAATTTCCAAAAATATGTCATGATAAAGACAGTTATAATTATTGATTCTAATTAACCTTATTTTAATGCCTAAGGCAGTATGCTGTACCATATGTGGCAGCAGTTCCGTGGCAGTATGAGCATTTTCCGGCTTTTTTAAAATAATGGTTAAAATTCCAGTCATCATCACCAAACTGGTGAATAAAATTTATTAACTGATCGATCAAATGGTCGATTGATTGATTTTCAGAGCTCGTTGGATGTGGAGACCCTGGTGTCCCTGTTAACGGATACAAGGTCGGAGAGAATTATTGGGGAGGAGAGATGGTGACTTTTGCGTGTGACGCAGGATACCACTTGGAAGGACCTACAAACAGACTGTGCTTGGAAAATGGCAACTGGAGTAACGTGGTGCCGGCATGTTAGAGCAAACTATTTTAGCCCCCAATCGTCCACTGTCTAGAGGACACACTTAAAATTGATCTAATTATCTTTCTATTCTACTATTTATAACATGAATCGTAAAAACAATTCCTCGTTTCTACTTTCCATATTTGCTGTAAAATACCATCCTGTGTCTTTAAAGCTCGAAAAATTACCAACTCTCCGGTAAGACCTAACCAATAAAATGATGAATGAGCTTCTCAAGGTTCCAAAACGAGGAATACAAGTATAGCATATTCAATATTCTGTTCAACGTTGAAAAGTTCTGCCCTTTTTTGGAATGCTTCGTTTGCCAAAAATTACTGCGTTCGACACACAAAACGACTAAAATGATATTGCTTGAATTAGGAGGATGCTGTACACAGTTTATAAATGTTCTCTATTCTTTCTCCAGGCCATCGTCTGTGCGAAGAACCTGCTCCTATTGAAAATGGTTACAGGATAGGAGATAAGTTCTGGAAAGGCAGAAACGTCACTTACGAGTGTAACAAGGGATACCAGCTTCGAGGACCACATGTCAGAATTTGTAAGGAGAACGGAGAATGGAGCGAAGAAGGACCAACATGTGAAGGTGAGATTGTCTTACCAGTTTTAAGTTGCAAAAAAAATTTCTTTTTCCTTCTGTTTTTGTTTTAGTGCTCAGACTAATGGGAAAAGGTTATAGAATGCAGTATTGAGACAAAATTTCTTTTTCTCTTTTTTAAGTACTGAAAAACCTATCTAATCAATAATAGACTCCAAGTTATTCAAAACCCGATAACATTGTAATTTCTGTCATTTTTAGGTCCAGTGTTTGAGCATTCAGAAATCTTACGAAACAATACAGAATACTGGGAGCTCCTTAAAGGCTGGCTGGGCCCTGTGTCTACACTGCCAGCCAAGTGGAAGCTATGCTACAGAGCTACTGATCATGGATGGGGTTCCGGTACATTTCATTCCCAGTGTAACAATCTAGGACCCACAGTGACCTTCATAAGAGTGGGAGAGTATATATTTGGAGGATACACTGACCGGAACTGGCGTAAGTAAAAAAATCTTGGACTCATAAAGGCATCAAAAAATCATAAAAGATCTATCTGGGCTGAACTGTCTCGACTATCCTAACTTTTGGTTATCAAGTTTCATGTTTGTGTGCCAAAAGAAAAGAAAGAATCCATGTGCTATTCGCAGCCTGTAGTCACATGTTCATTCAGTCAGTGGTCAAATTTACCATCAAATTTGTGAATATGGCGGTTGGGATTTTCTTGAGATACCACCGTTGAGCGAGAAAGTACTCGAAGGGATCTTCAGTTCCCTATTAATGACGTTTTTTTTTCAGACTCGAGTGGCTCCTACAAAGATTCAACCCACAGTTTCCTATTCTCATTTAAGAATCGCTATGGACTGGATCCGTTTAAGCTTCACATCAAGCAAAGTGAGCATGCCATAGACGATAACAACGGTTACGGCCCAACATTTGGTGGGGGACACGACATTTACATCGGCGACAATGCAGGTTCGAACACAAACTCTTACACAAACTTGGGTCACAGTTATGTGCAGCTGGCTGGCTACAAGTCCGGTGATAGTAACACGAAAAATCTTTTAGCGGGAAGCTACAATTTCCAGCCTCACGAAGTGGAAGTATTTTATCAGACTTTCAAAAAATGATTTTAAACAACCGCTCGGACTGATTTTGAGTTGGTGTTAGTCAAGACAATTTAACTCGAAACTTGTAGTGCAAAGATGAATCTAAGGGAAAGCTTCAAACCTTTCCTCGTAAAATGATTCCTCACGCAAAGTTTGTAAGCTATTAGTTAAAGTCATTTAACAATGGCGTTTTTTTTGTATAAATTGAATGGTTAGGAAAAACATTGCGGGTAGGAAAGATTTATCATCAGGATTTCTAAAGTGGTATTACTGTTTTAGTGCTCAAAATGTTCGTGAAAAAATTACGCACTTCTGATTGGCTGAAAACGAGAGCATTCTCATATAGCACGAGTCGAGCAAAGTTTTGACATTCGTGCAAAATTGTAACACAGGTGCACACTACAAACAGCGCGCGCACGCCTTCAAAATTTCGCCGCTCCAGCAATTTTATTGTCTTTGAAAAATGTACTCATACTTATTAACACCAAAGTGTACTCGTAATCGTGTTATTACCTTTATAAATATGAGATCAAACTTTGATTAACTTGAAATAATTTACGATGAGGCTCATAATGATAATAAAGTGTTTAATCATTATCGTTACTGAATTTCCCCAAATGTGACTGGTGCATTGGCTGCTTTCGTTAAATGTATAATAAAACAATTATTGGATGAGGTTTTTGTGATATCCAGAATAATCAAGGTCTCGGTAAGGGTTATCATTATCAGCCTCAACCTTCGGCCTCAGTTGATAACCATACATCGACCTCGATTATTCTGGATATCACAAAAATCTCGTCAAATAGTTGTTTTTAATCATACTCGTGATTGACAAATAGGACCCCGCTTTGTAGACGTCTGATTACAGACCGAATTGGGCTCCACTCCCTCCCATAACCATTATTAATCGCTTCACTATCATCAGTGGAAATCTCGCCAATAATGTCTTTAGAGCACTACATTTCCACACTTCGGCAAATAATTTGGCAAATAATTATGAGCCACTCGCTCAAATTTACCTTGTGATTATTCTCTCTCACAAGCGTTCCAACCTACTCAATGTCTCTCAATTTAGCTTGTTTTAAAAGAGCTTAGTAGGCTAACAACACCAAGAGGATTCAGCCCCACCTCTCCTCCCCTCCCCCCGCAAAAAAAGAGAGGAAAGAAAGCATAAGGAAAGCATAAGATTGTCTTTTAACTGCTCTTGAGAACCCAAAATAAGTTCTATAACCGTTGATAACCGTCAATAAGTTCGGAACGGCAGCACTCACAACTCTCGGCTTATTCGAAAAGAAACGCGCACTAAAACTTCCTGTTGTAAGCATGTGGAACAGTGACATATATGGGGCGATCAAACACATGCTGCATACATATTTGTTTGGTTATGTATAGATAAACGAAGTCACTTATAAATGTCAATCACATTAAGAATAATTAACGTATCGTACAATGTCCAATATATGTATTTAGACGAAATACATATAAATCTTAAACTTGAAACTGTGACTTCAAAGTTTTCATCTGTACAGGAGCGTTTTTCTCGGTCGAATTTATGATCTTGTGGCTGTTTCAGAGATGAAATTCTCCTAGTTACACCGAAAAAAACTCTATGAGAGTTCCGCTTTTGCTGAGAGTAGCGAAATAAAGATATCTTACGTCAGCCGAGTTGGAACAGAGATCCTGATCACCCACCGTGCAATAAGTTTACAGTACTTCGAGATCAACTTTATTATTTTTCGCTTTCAGGAGCTATAATAAATTGTTCTTGGGGTCATTTAACCAGTGTGATAATGTAAGGAGAGATTTGTTAAATAGATGGAAATGTAAAATTTTAAAAGACACCTCTATATTAAACCCCGTACATGATTAAACGATGACACGGCATTTGATATCACATAAGAAATAAACTAAGCTTCTAGTGCGAGAGAAAATGACACCAACATTGACCTTAATAAATTAACAGCTATTGCACCTATATGCGCCTCCAACTCCTCTTTCCTTAGGAATTAAATTACCGATTTAAAATTAGTGCAAAGAACGCTTGACTTTCTTCACGCAATGACTCTTCTTGCATCTAACTCTGTCAGGTAGAAATAATCGTGCTTCTGACAACTTGGCCTAGAAGTAAAAGGGTCAAGCGAAGTTAAACATCATTGGAAAATGATCAGAATTAGTGACTCACTAATTCTAGTTGTCAAGCAAAAGTCCAGGGTTGGAAGGAACTTCTTCTCACTCTAAAGTAGACGACAAACATTTTCATTCAGGTTGAAAGAATAGTTTTCTACTGAGGCATGCAATTAATACTCTTCGTTCGATTTCATTCATCGCTTTGCATACGAGCAATAACCATGGCTTTGCTTCTGCACACAAGCTGGGTAATCACTTTTCCGACTCGTTACATCTTTAAAATGTGTCCAGTACGAATCCGAGTGAGTCAATCTTACGTGATCTTTAATTGTACCACTGGGTTTTATCAATTTTGTTCCCTATCATAGAATAACTTAGACAGGGGTTTTCTGTCACAGAGCTACTTTAATAAACAAAACTCCGGTTCCGAACGTTCCGCCTTTGCTGCGACTCACAAAACAGAGCATTGCGTTACTCTACTTTAGTAACAGAAAACTTTTTCGACAAACAAAAAGCTGATCCATGCTCCTAGTTGTGAGAAGGTTCCGCTTTGGCTTCGACTCACGAAAACAGGATGTTGTGTTACAATACATTTGTCATACGGGAACATATTAAAAATGCGTGTTCATCACGCATCCTTCCCCTAGATCAAAATCGATATCTCCAGCGTACTCAAAGACCAAGATAATTGCTTTCTTTTGGAGAGCTTTTTTTTATTAACTTTCTATGCTTTTGTTCTTGGTTATAATTGCCATCTTAAGTAGCAAGAACAAATAATAAAAGGAAAAAGATAATTATTACCTGACTGTTTACAACTGTATAGTTGCTAATTCATATGACCGCTCGATCAGACATTTGATATCATCAGGAGATGGATCAGGCTTCCAGTGCAAGGGGAAGTGAAACTAAAATAGTTTTTTACCAAAAGTTTTCGATATTTTTGTGTTTTGCAGCATAAGATTGCATTAACCTCAACTTCTCCCTCCACTTCCAGCCTGAAAATGATTCCCTTGTCGGCAGTTACTTAAGAAAAAGGTGCAATGAGGTACTTGTAAATGAAAGAAATTTTATACCGTGATTTCATGACAAAAAAGCTTTAAATAAACAACGTCAGCAAACTGCAGACATGTGTTCCTGTATAATTGAGCAAGTCAGGAAAGTGAGCTCGAAAAGAGCTTATTCCTGTCTGGTTTTCCACTGCTACTTAGCCGAGCAAACTTGGGCAAAGCAACATTCACTCCACTAATCAACTGAAGCTCGACAATGGAAGCAGTGAAGAAGTCGCGAGGCAATAGTTTCTGGACTATTGCCGTGATTTTAAACATTTTATTCAGTGTGATTTCCGTCGGGTTCTTTATCTACAAAGTGCACGTGTTAGAGGGAGAAGTGTTCCAATTGCGGAGCGACCTGAAGAACCAGGCAAAAGCGAGAGAAAGTGAAGATGCAGATTTGATGAATCGAAACAAGAGAGCTGCTAAGTATCACGGGGATTCAAAACCCTGCACCAGTTGCCACAATGCTTGCGTTCAGTTATTTGGACTTGGAGCTTCTGCGAAGGTATTTATTAAGATATCAAAGCTTTATATGTTGTCTTTTTATAGTTTTTGAGAACATAGTTCATTGTTCTTTGATTATAAATCCATCATCTCGATCTCTGACACCTGAACAACTGACGAGCCAGACTACATACAGATCCTACGCTTTGCCTGTCCGCACGGCAGTCACTCTTTTTTCGGGATGCCAAGGATGAAATTACCTGATCGATTTGTAAAGAAATTATTTTCTTCTTTTTCAGTGTTTCGTACATGGGTAATGACTCTTCTTTATCAAATTTTCCATCGCTCTTACTAAATCTGTAAGATAAAACGACGAATGCTACCTCGAAAAACTTTCTTTTTCGATGTTTTGGATGGTTTAATTTTTTTTTTGGTTTTTAGGTCACTACAAAGATTAACAATGTTACAGATCAAGACGTCATCTGTTTGAGAGGTAAGTGTCCGCTGAAACTCATCAATAAGAGTGTTCTTAATTACCTCCTCGTCATTGCGATCTGATATCAATAAGAAAAATTATTATGCAAAAAGCGTGAGTTTACTTAGCACATATTTTTAGCAGTTATCCAAATGATCTTTTTTTTAGATCAAATTTTGAATTAATATTTGCATTTATTTCTTTTGATCTCAGGGGGGGATATTTTAATTATTTTTTATTATGTCTTGTAAATAAATTCGCCTTTGTTGCGGAAATCCGGAACTTTTACGGTGCTGCTGACGATTTGCCATAATCAAACGACAAATGAACTCAATTCGAAATTTCCCTTCAGGAGCTCGAGGGCCGCAAGGTCGTGATGGGCCCCGAGGACGTCGGGGTCGCCCAGGTTACATTGGAAAGCCAGGAAAAACGGGTCCTCCAGGTGCACGTGGTCGCCAAGGACCCAGAGGGAGACCTGGAAGCGCTTTAGCAGGAAATACTTCCAGACTATTCCAGGATATAGGTAACATGGGATTATTTTGTTGTCTTCACCACGTTCTAAGATCTGTTTAAACTGTATATGAAGTTCCTGGATGAGTGCATCGCTAAATTCGTCTTCCGCCAATATCAGTCACTTTTCACTCTGAATTAGGAATGAAAATATCCAAATAAGAAAACGTCCGGTGGCAAACGCTGCATCACTCTTAAAGTTTACGTGAGATTCCAGTATCTGAAATATCAGAGTTGCATTTGTAGATTTGAGAGCCTTGAAAATTCTGTGACACAAGTTTTTATTGGCTCCCTAACAACATCAATGTTTATTAGAAAAATGGGGGTGATGGAGGGATGCTTTTTAGAAATCGATCGGTCTCAAGAGCGGTTGGATCCCTTATCAGAAAACTAATAGTCATGTCATAGATGAACTAGGACCGGCTTGACACCAGAGCATAATACTTATGCCCGGTGAAGTTTGCCTGCGTTTGTTATAGCCGTGAATACTTTCTCTTTGAAAGATTGATACAGTGCTCTTAACTCTTTAAATTCCAAGATCTTACTGCTAACTCTCCCCTCTAGCTGCTAAACATTTCCTTGTTAATCAGTTACGAGAATTTGTTGTCAGATCAAGATGACAAATTCTACCTGATAAGTTAGTGTATTCTCATTACCCGAGAGAACATCCTATGTTCTCTTGCATTGCATGTTCGCTGGATAATGTAGGGAGGTTATAGGGAGAAGTTATATGTTAATCATTTCTGAGAGTTATAGTAAACTACATTATAAGCACTTTTATCTGCACTTTTGCGCCCAAGATATCCCAAGAATAAGAAAGAAGCCACCATCCAGCATGACTGTCAAAGAGGGAAACAATGTCTCCTTACCCTGCTACTCAAAAGGCTTTCCAAACCCAGAGGTCACGTGGTATAAAAATGGCCAGAAGTTAAACTCTGGGAAGTATAACAG